TAAAACCACTTTTTAATATGTAGAGGGTATTTTCAAGTTGTTGACGCTTTGTTGATGCTGTGCTTGTAAGTTGTACCCTTGTTCAAGTTGTTGACACACTCCATGGTCAGATGGATGGTTGACCGTGTTGACGCTAAATTAGTGATGAGTCATGACCACTATATCATGATATACCATGCCTATGCTATGGTTTACACATAGGCCTACGTACATGTGCATGCTTGACCAACTTGAGGGTCCATTCCTTCATCCTAGTACTAGCTGTAGTCTTGGTAAATTTTGACAATATTTAAGCAAGAAAATCAGAATCTTATCCAAGTTCAGCGAAAGTTGACTGCATCATGCCATTTTGTTTCATGTCTTGTTACCAGACCCAGCCAATGTGATATGCTAATTCTGAATCCGAATCTCTTGTCTAGAGCTAGGTCTTCACTCCATTAGGAATGCGTGGAGACGCGTATACAGTAGACCTACATGTAGCAGTAGCTCTGGAAGCCCGTTTCCGACATGGCCTGAATTTCATTTAAAAACTTCATCCAGGTCAAGGAACCAGACTACATTTGCTCTCGTCGCGTTAAAACCCTCCTTTGGTTTTACAGCACAAGTAGGCACGAGTGCTCACAGTCACTCTTGAGCATGTATTTTTTGCATGGAACACAAACATGCACAGGTTCAGTGTGTACACAGCAATGTGGTTGCCAGCACAAACTGACACAGGGTCTTTTATGCAGTCCTCTTCACTGCATTTGGTTTACTGCACAATTATGCACATGAAACAGTGAAGCACAGTTGTTGGGCAGCACAAAAGTGCAATCTGATATTCCCATGAGGGACTGTTGGTGCATTGCACAACACAACACAGCTGTGCTGCTTTGAGGTGTTTACCAAGTGACCCAAAGAGTGACTTTGGGTCACTTGGGTCTCGCAAAGTGGCAGGTAGTAACTGATGAAAACAGCAACCCTGGCAACGTACGCATTCACCAGTCGGTCAAAGGATCAGATTACACAATCATTTCTTTGAGCAGTAGGTACGCGCGCGTTCATTGCAGTTTTCATTGGTTGCTACCCACCATTTTGCAAAACTCCTGGGTGTCTGCGCCACCCCATGAGCATGATAAGACTTACATATTAACGTTAGACTTGCACCATGCACATGGTAGGGCCAGGGGTGTAGCGAAGGCAGTTGCTTTGTGGGGGGCCTGTGTGCCCATGGTGCCAGAATCAATCGGCCAACTTGTAACTTGAGCTTGTACTGTCGTGTGAAATGGAAATTCGTGATGGGGGCCTACGCAACATTTCATGCTTCAGGGGAGATGCCAACGGCCAACGTATTGTTTATGTATCAATTCTGGATTCATTCGCTGACCAAAGGTCTATTATTTGCCGACTGGAATTAATTATTTCATGGGGGGGGGTGCTATCCCCTCTCCAGTCAGTACACCTCTGGCAAGGACTAGGTCCCCTGTCATGCCTGCTAGACCTGACAAGCTAATATCTGAACATAATCATCTAGTCATAATCCCAGCCTTGCTAGCAATTTTAGATTGCCTAAATTAATGTACATCTTATTTAAAATGTTTCTGCCAAGTCAAGAACAATTTATTTACATGTAGGCCTTACTAGTAGTCCTATGAATTGCTTTTTTTTTGTTTTCGCAACTATTATTGGGCAAGTGTAATGACATCTTGCCGTGTGGAAGTAACAAACATCAGTATTCAGTTACTGGGACTGTAAAATTTCATGAAAGGAAAACTTGGGGAATTACCATTTTGTTGGTGCAAACATGTAATGTTGATAAACACTTCCAGTACGTGCATGGGTACATGTACAGTACATGTATGTTTGTGTAAGTAACCAGGACTCTACGGATCACCTCCTTTAATATTTAGATGGTGATACTACTCGCCCTGTCCAAATGTTAGAAACGATTCCTATGTGTATATGTATGTAGGCCTACAGCTGGGGAAGGGTTTACGTGTATTTAATTTTTTTGCGCAGTTACGTTGCCAAACATTGTCAAGGAGTTGTGTGTACAAGTAGAGGCCTAAACTTTTATATGATTGGTTTTCAGAAGACGCATTCATCTGTGAATGGCCTGCTGGTTGATGTTCCTGTCACAACACTTCTTCAAAGTGACTCCTATCTTAAGGTCATATGCCAGTGCACCTGCTAGGTGGTCTAAGTGGTGTGTCCCAGTGGCAGCTATGGCCACAAAGGCCACAGAGGATGCTTTCCGCCCACCAGTGTGTACCTTACCTGAGGCTGGAGGAATGCTGAACCGTGACCTCTTTGTAAAAACACTTCTTCTCCCGGCTGTCCGTTTTAACAAGAAGCTGACTAGTGTTTGCCTACGGGCCTTAAAGTCAAAAGCACTGACCCGCAAGCCGTTCTTGAGAAATAATCCAAGCAACCCTGATGAGAAAGTCCTTCTCCTGAACCCAGAGGTGGTCTCATCAGGTGATGTCTTGTCACTGGGAGAGGCGGGCGCCGGCTTTCTGAAGGAGCATAGCTTGGAGGGTAAATTTGGCGAGTACCAGCTGGAGTTGAGGTACAGCGACTGGACAAGTGAGGAGGTCCTGCGGTCCTTGCTGCCCAAAGGTGTGGAGGTACCAACAGGCTTCAGTCGGATTGGTCACATTGCTCACTTGAACCTCAGACCAGAGCAGCTGAAGTACAAGCATGTTATTGGTAAGTTGTTTGCTACATGTATATGTATGCATGTGCACTATTCCTGTCTTTGGTTTTGAATCCATAGGTAGGTAGGTAGGTAATTTTGTGTACCTTTTTAATACCTAAAGTAAGTTGATAGGTGTTCTATGTTAACCCTAACTGCCATACTCCAACAGCAGGTTTTGTGAGGTTTTGGCAGGTTTGGTACCGTTCCTGAGGAACTTGTTCTTGAATTTTGTGAGACTTGGGATGAAAGGCCCAGGGAGATGGTGTTGGATTCTATGTGAGTTGGAACACATGCAGGTCACTGTGTGCAGTGTCTGCCTTGCTGTACCAATTGTTGGACTATGCTTGATTTTATCAGGTTTGGTACTGTTCAGTGCAAGTCATCCTATACTGCATAGACCCATCCATACCATATCACTCAAACTCCAACGGGCTCATTCTGTTGGAGTTTATCAGGTTTGGTACAGTGACCTGCATGTACAAGTACATAGACAAGTGTAACATGAACCTGTTGGATTTTGTGAGATTCAAAAGCTTTCTAGCGCAGGAGCCTAGGGGGTTAGGGTTAAAGTTACATTTGAGATATCAGCCGGTGTAGCATAAAGGGTCAGTGAGTTTTGTATTTTGAGTTGAGTTTTACATAAAAGAGCCAAGCAAGGTTTTCATTGAGTTAACTTTCAAAAAACAGAAGATATGATATTAATTTTTGTACTGGTGGATGGATTCACAGTGACCAGGTGACGAACATTGATAGAATGACTTCCATCATCTTGGTCCAGCCACAGGAAAAGAGATCACCTGTGTGTTTGAACGTGCATGCTATGCTTTCAAGTTTTGCCCTGAGTGGATCAGAGGCCACTTCAGTTAGGCATGCTGATGAGGTGTAGTGAATCTATCATGTCTTAGGGATGTTTGAGGGTGCTCTGCACTGCAGTTACATGTACGCTGTATATCATATAATGTATTTGCACTTTTGGGACTCAGGTGTAACTATGTGCCGCTTTTGACTCTAGTCATTGCTCAGGTGCAGAGACTCCAATCAAGCTGAATCAGTTACCCAGTAGGACTCAGGTTGAAATCCTGTACATCACCAAAAACCTGTGACCTGAGTGTCAGCATGTGTAAAGGAAGCTATTGATGTGATTAGCCATTTTTAAATTCTAGTGTTTTTGTTTCTTTTCAGATTTTACTCTTGGAACCAAATGAAAATATTACTCTTGAAACCAAATGACAATATTTAAAAATTTGGCTCCACATCAGACAATTTGACTTAATTTTTATTTCAAATAACAAATAAGATTATAATTCTTGGTTTGCTCTGTTCTGATATTCTTATAAGTTTTCTTCTCATTTTTGTGCCTAAATTCAAAGGTGAAGTTCTTATGGACAAGAATCCAGGACTGAAAACTGTTGTGAATAAGACTGGAGAAATCAACAATGAGTTTCGCTTCTTCAGCATGGAGCTACTGGCTGGAGAGAATAACTTGATTGCCATGACAAAGGAGCATGGTAATTCCTTTGAATTTGACTTCTCCAAGGTCTACTGGAATCCGCGGCTCTCTACAGAGCATGCCAGGATTGTGGGCCTGCTGAACAGGGGCGATGTCGTGTACGATGTGTTTGCTGGGGTGGGGCCTTTTGCCGTGCCTGCCGCTAAGAAAGGGTGTGATGTCCTGGCAAATGATCTGAATCCGGAATCCTTTAAGTGGCTGCAGCGGAATATCAAATTGAACAAAATCGAGATGGGGTTAATAAAGGCCTACAACTTGGACGGCAGGGAGTTTATCAAAGAAGTCGTGCGCAAAGACTTGATTAAGAGGGCGGAGGAGTGGAACACGGAAAGCAATCCTCGCCAGAGGACCCACGTAGTCATGAACCTGCCCTCGCTGGCTATGGAATTTTTGGACGCTTTCCCGGACCTCTTGCGGAACGTTGCGCCAGGGGTCAGGGGTCGGATTGGGCTCCCCACCGTGCACTGCCATTGCTTCTCAAAAGAGGCGGATGCAGCCAGGGATGTGCGGCATCGCATCGAGGCTGTCCTGAGTCACAGCATCGAGGGCGCCCTCATCCACGACGTCAGGGATGTGGCACCAAATAAAGAGATGATGTGCGCATCATTTGAATTGCCAGGGGCCGTCGTATTTGGAGACAGCACAGAAGGTACCATACACATGAACTGTGGTCATTCATCAACAGAATTTTTATGCAGCCTACACATTCACATGTGCATATTTATATTTTGAATCGGGGGGGGGGGCTTTTGAGAAAATATCTGTGAGGATCACACACACATGTACATGAACATGTAAGACTTTTAAGGGCTTGACACAGACAGTGTCAGACAGTGTCTATTTGGTGCGGGCTCGTTATTTTTTGCATCCATAAAATTTCAACTTTATGGTTCTGCAAATACATTTACATTGTACATGTACCATAATGTATGGTTTGAGGATACTAAATCCATAATTTTCTGCAGTTAAACTATGCATGCAAATGTGCCATAGACTGTGAAGCACATACTTCTAGGAGAGGGCTTCAGTGTAGTTGTATTAATGACTTTTGACTGCTGTCCCTAAGCAACCATATTATACACTTGTTCATCCATTCCCAGATCACACGCACATTTAGCTGCCATGTCAATCTTTTGTTTCATCTATTTTTGTCTCACAGATTCGCAGGCAGCAATTAACGAACCACAAGCCAAGAAGTCCAGAACGGAATGAGAGGTTAACTCCCCACATGCAATCACTTTGGGCAGATAGTTGACATAACAAACGTACTGGATGATCAGACTCTTCTCCCCCCCCCCCTTTGTGGTGCAAAGTACAACCTCCTCTTTCCTGGGGAAAGCTCCGGAAAAAAAAAAAAAGAACAGAATTTTTGTGCAAATGCCCATTGTTTCCAGGAAGTACTGATATTGTGAGTCAATTAATTTGAAGGTGGGGTGCACCCAGCCTTTTACTGCGTTGATTGCTCTATGGTATGCACTAAAATTATGGATTCCAAAGAAAGGAATTCTTGACCATGTTTGTCAATTTCATGTTCCATTTGTCAACAGCTCGGTGATTTTGCATAGGGCAGAGTCAATTCGAATAATTTACTAGTCAAACACTAGTCATAATAATTCACTGGTCAACCTGTAATCCAACCAAATATCTGAATATTTAGTTGTACCAACTGGCAGAATGTTGATGAATGAACCAAATACATGTACAATCAGTTGCCTTAACCCTCCTATGGTTTTACAGCACAAATATGCACGAGTGCCCACAGTCACTCTTTTGCAATGTGCTTTCTATATGGAACACAAACATGCACGGGTTCAGAGTGTACACAGTAGGTTGCCAGCACAAAATGACGTGTGCTGATTTGTGCTGCATATGCACTGGCCAAAGGAAAAGCGAAATAGGTGTGTTGTTGTGTGCTGTGTATTCACTGCCATAATGAGTTGCTGGGATGGTTGTCTTTTGTGTTGTCTTTGAATTACCATGTGGAGTATGGGACAGTGCTGATGCTGGGGAAATACCGTAGAACCCTCTAGGGACCCACCCTGAACTAAACTGGGGCTAACTAACCTCTTCAAGTAAACAAGGCACACATACTGTTCATTTTTTGTTCAGCTTTTATAACTTTTCTTTTGATCTATCTTTGTGTTTGTCATTTGTTTCAAACATTTACAGCTTCTCTTTTGATCTGTCTTTGTGTTTATCATTTTTTCAAACAAACATTTTAGTTGCAACTTTTCTTTTGATCCATCATGTTGTTGAGCATTTGTTTCAAACAAACATTTTATTTGCAGCTTTTCTTTTGATCCATTATGTTGTTGAGCATTTGTTTCAAACTAATATATGAGATTCAGATTTGATTTTTTTTAGCAGTTTTCCAAATGAAGCAAATCGTTACGTTTAGTTTCATGCAACTTCTCAATTCCTGTGTTTTTTGTTATTCTAATGTTTTTTCTGGTCAACGTTTAGTTTTCCTGGAGAAGCTGGGATTCGATTGTCCTTAAACTTAAGCTGAGTGAAACTCTAAGAAGCACCTATCCTTGCAGAGGTGGACGTTGCAGCTCCCACATCCAGTCCTTGTTCGAATAGGTTTGTTCTTTTTGGTCGTCCATCCGCGCCTCCTGCATTGCACACACATCTTGGACGAGTTGCTGAGGCGGATGCACTGGTGGGTGGGGCCATTGACCTTGGGGACTAGAGCTAGGCGATGCTGCTGATGAGGGTGAGGCGTACCTTCTGCAAAGCCAGCAATGAGGGCCTTGGCGATGCTGATGGTGAAAAGCCGGTGGGGCATCACATTACCTTCTCCCTCTCTATTCAACTTATAGCAAATGAAGGCATTTACACGTGCCGTATCGACCAAGAAGTACAAAACCTTTTTCCACCATTTCATGGCCTGTCTGCTGCAGGAGTGGTATGATCTTAGCTGGTCGTGTCTGTCAACAGCTCCCATATACTTTGCGTAGTCGATGGCATAGGGTGGCGCTCGGACTGGTTTCTTCGAAGTTTTCTTCTCCCCCTCCTCCTTGAAGTTCCTCTTAACGACATCTCTTGCCTCGTCCCTGTACAGCTGGTTGTACGTAGAGAGGAGAGACACCACCTTTGTGTCTTACCTCAATACCATGGTGACCTTCCCTTGCTGCCGGGTATACAGGGTGCCTCTTGGGGTCTTGTTCATCTCCTGCATTAGTTTGTGTTGTACAGGATTTACTTCTCCGTTTGTGCTGAATTCATCAGGCGGGCCTTTGGATGTGCGCTTGACAGCTCCACAGATGTACGTCTTTTCTTCCAGACGCTCTTGGGCAACTGCTGCAGATGTGTAGAGCTTATCGCAGTAGAGCCGGTGGTATCGTCCGAAGTGGGGCTGCATTATCTGCATTACCAGTTCCCTCATCTTTACGCTCTTCTCGGGATGTACCATCATGTTCAAAATCTAGCCCGACCTGGACTCGGCAACAGCATATATCTAAAACCCCATCTTTTTGGGCTTGAGGGGCATGAAGAACCTCTTCAGGTTTGCCTTTGTCCCCCAGTACTTGACCATTGCTTCATCTAAGGCCAATTCCTTTTGAGGGTTGAGGTTAGTGATACAGGCCTCACCTACAGTGTCCCAAATAAGCTGCAGTGGATAGAGTGGATGGCTCTTCATGTAGGAATATCGCTCGCGCTTCTGGGGAAACTTTCGATGGGGTGCTTTTGATGGATTGGTGCACACCAGTACCTCTGTCAAAATGTTAAATCGAGCTTGCGTCATGGTAGCTGTATGTAATGAGTGGGTTCCGAAGAGCTGGGTATGTTGACAGTCATCTTGGCAGTTGAAGTTAGAATGTACCCCTTAAATCATGCGGATGCCGAACCAGGCCCTGATCTCTTCCACTGTTGTTCTCTTGAATCGTGGGTTGCTGCTTCCTGCCCTGTTGGTGTACCGTGCTATTTTAGCAAACAGGAACATGGGGAAGAACATCACAAAATATGAAAGGGGCTCATCTTTTTCAGGTCTCGCGAATGTGGGGCCGTACGGACGAGCACCTTTGAACTTGCGGGTCTTGACTTTCTTAAGATCTCTGGACCATTCATGTCGGTCCACTGGGAATCTGGGTGCTTGGTTGCAATCCGGCTTGTCTGGATCATCGTCAGAACCAGGCTTTGCAAAAGCCCGCTTCCGGCCGATCTTTTTTAGAGGTGGTGTAAGAGGTGAGTCGTCATCAGAATCAGAAAGATAAGGCTCGTCATCAGGGGACAAACTGCTTTCATACTCTTCAGCATCTTCATCATAATCATCATCATCCACTGCCTCTTCTTCTCGGTCTTGTTCTACTTCATCAAACAAAGGAAGTTGAAGGAATGGGTCTTCATCTTCCTTGACCGCTGTCGTGAAGGGTCTGGTGCATCTGGCAGAATGACTGGCAAACTA